CAACTACATCACCCGACTCCTCCCCCTTCCCTTCGTTAGCCAACAGAGCCACTCGGGGAAGGGGGGAGGAGTCCGGTGATGTCGATGTCCGTGACGTCACCGGATCTCAGAGGGAAGACCCGGAAGCCGGAGGAGAGGTGAGTACCGATCAAAATAATTTTGATCGATCAAAAAAATGTACGATTAATCGTTAATTTCCGCAGCCCTAGATTTAACCCTTTAGTGAATGGGTAGGGGTACAAGTACCCCTTACTCATTCACATGGGGGGACGGCATCTGGGTGCCCCCTTATTTAAAGGGGTACCCCGATGCAAATAAGCCCCCTTGCCCGCAGACCCCCACAACCACTGGGTCAGGGTTGTGGGGAAGAGGCCCATGTCCCCATCGGCATGGGGACACCCTCCCAATGCCGAGGGCATGTGGCCTGGTAAGGTGCAGGGAGGGGGGGCGCTCGATCGCCCCCCCCCTCTTTCCTGCCCTGTCAGACCAGTGCTAGGATCAAGGGTCTGGTAGGACTGTTAGGGGGGACCCCACGTTTTTCCCCCATTTTTGGGGGCTGGGGTTCCCCTTTAAAATTCCTACCAGACCTTAAGGGTCTGGTATGAATTGGGGGGAACCTCACTTTTTTTTTTCATCTTCTGCTGACTGTAAAAAAAAAAAGTCATTTTTTTTCCCTAATGTCATTTTGCTGCAACGAAATTCGTCCAATAACTAATTTCGTCCATAAAAGAATTTCGGACGGACTACCGCTAACAAATTTCGGGAAATCGGGAATTCAGATTCTTTTGCATTCGTCTTAGCTGTAATTCGGAATTCGGATGCATCCGAATCTCCGAATTTTCGAAAATTCGTCTGAAACGAATTTCGGAACGAACCGAATCGCACATGTCTAGCCCACAGTGCGATTGCCAGCACCAGAACACATGGCACATCAATGCCTGTGTTCCGGTCCAGTGCGATTTGAAAAAACACTGCATGCATTATTTTTTCATATTGCACTGGATCGGAACACAGGCATTGATGTGCCATGCATTCTGGTGCAAGTGCTAACCGCGCTGGAACACACTGTATATGTGAACAAGCCCCAAAATTGAAAATGAACCAAGAGTTCCCCTAAAAATGTTCTACTCCTCTTCCCTAGTAATTTCTTCTCTGTTGTTGCTGCCACCTTCCCAGATGGATAACTCTGTTTGAAGAGTGCAAAAAGGTGCTATATTTCTATGGTAGGGAAGATCACATGATTAACAAGGCTCATTTGGAAATTGTAAATGATTTGTATTGTTGTAAATTATTATTTTCTTCAATTGACTTCTCTTTAGGATAATCCTTATTCTTATAATAAGTTCTGATGTTGAATGTGCTCATGTTTTCGTGTGAATTTATGTTTTTTGAAAATAAAGAATTAAAAAAAAACATACAACTCAAGTAACAGTGGTAACAAATCCACCAGCATGTGTGTCACATACAGTATGTTTAGCGTCTTGAAAAAGACCAGCAGTGCTTTGTAGAAAAGTTGACCAAGAAATCTATGTATGACTGAATATATAAATAATATTTAAGGATGTTCAGATACCAAGTACTGTACTTGGTACAAGTACTGATGTTTTTCCAGCTCCAAGACTAAACTAGAGAAAAACTCAAAAGTTAGGCGGCAGCTGTCATTTGTAAGGAGCATTGGCTACGGGGCTATTGGGATTTTTGCATCTGTTTTTTTTTTTTTTAGGCATAGTATTTTTTGTGTGTGTTTATGCAAAAATGCATATCAAATTTGTCTAATAGTTTGCATACAAACTGTGAAACATTAACACACAAAATAGCATTAGGCTTCTAATGGGCCCAGGCAGAAATTCGTAAAATTAAATATAAGTGCAGCTAAGTAGTAATCTACACATGGTATCTACAGAGTAAAAGTATCCTTGTTTTAATGTCTGATTTGTTATATACAGTTACTATTTTTCCAGACCAGTACCGATACTTGTCCAAGTACTCACAGATACCAATTACTGAAACATTTTTGTTTAGTGTCATGTGACAGTTTTTCTAAAACAATGCAGAGTAATGATTTCAAGACAGTGGTGGAGTGCCAGGGCCCAGTTGTACCTGCAAACGCTGCAACCCTGGTAATTCTCCTGAAAATGCCAAGCATCACCACTGGTATCTGAACATCTCTAATAATATTCATAAACAATATTACATATTTACCTGATTTAAAACATAGAATATTATTATATGTTTTAGTCTCTACAATATAAAGAGAAAAAAAATTAAATTTCCCTTTAATCATGCTTACATTGACACATCATGGTCATAATATGGCAAAGCAACATATCTAAAAACGTTCAGATTAAAATTGAATTAATCATAATATATACAGTACATTTTTACTGAGTTAGACCATACTACATACTAACCAAGGTTTTCCCATATTTCTGACTTAGTCTTTGGATTCACATTTAAATGGAAGAACATGGCCAATAACTAAATGTCCTCTGGCAGGTGATAGAAAAGGACACTGTTGAGAAGAGTATTAACCTCCTATGCTAGAATACCAAGATTAAAACACATTTCCCATTGAGAGCTCTTCAAGGAGAAAAAAAGATGTGGTGATGCATTCATTAGAATGTAGAGGTTATTATGATTTACTTAACTCAATTATCTAAAAATAATGAATTATACATTTCCAACTGCCTTGAAATATTTGATTTAATTTGCCTCCCCTTTATTATATGTACTTACTAACTGCAACATAAGTTTAAAAAATAGAGTGCCATATTATGATAAATACCATATTGCTTTACTGAATATAAACCCCTACATACAGAGCTGAAATATTTATTATACCTCAAAAATTCATGCATTTTGTGTTGTGGGTACAATGTATACAAATTAAAGTGGAGAATTGTGGAAACTATACTGACTATTAAGGGGTTAATTTATAATAGTTCTGTCTGAAGGATGTAATTTACATGGCGCCAGCACTATAAGCTTCTCATTAATCATAATTCCAGACTGTGTTTAATATACTGTGATCACAACTAGGGATGAGCTTAATGTTCGAGTCGAACAAGAGTTCGACTCAAAAATAGGCAGTTCGTGTATTTGGTGAACACATGAACTATCAGGGCATTTGGCAGCTATTTGACTGCCGAGTGCCCCACAAGGAATTGCACCTCACAGTGCCTTGTGAGCCCTGATTGGCTAATCACAGGTCAGATGCAAGGCTTTGCCCCATCAGGGCACAGTACTCTGTAAAAGCCATGATTGGGAAAAGTAATTATGACTTTGCCCAATCATGGCTTACCTGTCAGGTGATGTACAAATGTAAACAGTTAGGCGGAGCTAGCTCTATGGCGGGAGTTTGTCGTGAGCGGACGGGTCCCTGGAAAAGCACCCTCCCAGTACCGAGGGCATGTGGCCTGGTATGGCAGGAAGGGGGGGCGCTTTCCCCCCCCCCCCCCCTTTGCTACCCTGCCAGGCCTGTGCTTGGATCAAGGGTCTGGTTGGGAATTTTAGGGGACCCCACAACTTTTTTCCCCCCATTTATGGGGTGGGGTTCCTCCTTAAAATTCCTACCAGACCTTAAGTGCCTGGTATGTCTTTAAGGGGGAACCCCACACACTTTTTTTTAAAATTGTAACTTGGGGTCCCTCCTAAAATTCCTACATGACCTAAAGGGTCTGGTATGACTTTTGGGGGGAACCCCACGCTTTTTTTCTTTTTTTTTTTAAATGGGGTCCCTCCTAACTTTCCTACCAGACCTAAAGGGTCTGGTATTGTTTGGGAGGGGGAACCGCACACTTTTTTTCTCTTTAAATGTCATTTTTTTCTTTATAAATGTCACTTTTTGCTGCAGCAGGTTCAATACATCGTACAGATGCCCCACTTTACAAGCAGTTTAAGGGGACCCCCCCATGCATGATATTTAAAGGATTTTTTCATTTTTATTGTTTCACTTTAAGTGATGTTAAAATCACTGCTCCTTTAAAAACTGCATATCCATTGATATGCATATCCATTGATACATGGAATGCAATGATTCAATTGATACCCAGGGCAGTACCCAAAATTTCAAAGTTTTGGCTCCATACACTTGCATTGAGTTCAAGTTTGAATTAAAACTTTTTCAATATTCTAAAGTTCGAATTGGAAATGAACTCGGGTCTGTTGCAACACAGAAAATTGGATTATGGCAGAGATGACTACGAAATAGATTTCAGTGCACCAGAATTCCACCTATATTTAGTATGCTCAACTTAGATATCAAAGTTTAGAGCTCAAAAGGTTTGCATAGTTTTAAAACTTTTGACTCTCTCAAACTTGTTTACAGAATAATCCAATGGCTGTTGACAAGTATTAAAATATGGAAAAAAAACTTTCTTGTAGTTTTACTACCAAGGTTATAGCTAAAGTGGCAAACACATCCAGGAGATAACACATGCTTTCTCATCCAATTTGTCACCATCAGACAGTAAATGGTTAAGCAGCCATGTTGTTTTTTTTTTTAATGAATTTATTTATTTGGATGAATGTATGGGAAGTGTTTTCCCATACATTCTCATCTTCCCTTCACAGTTATCATAACTTGGAATAGATGGTACAGCAGAATGTTTATGGATATTGAGATCTACTTAATAAATAAGTTAAATAGGAAATCATAATTGGTAAGATACATACCAATTAATGAGAAAGTTACCTATTACTTTAATCTCATTAGCTCTGCTCAGACACAAAATAACGCTCATAAACGTTCAATCATAGACTATTCTGAACACAAAAAAATGAGTTTGATTGAGTCTGATTGGACTGGATCTTCCACCAAGGCTTTTCTAATGAAAGCAATCATTTATTGAATAAACCACTCATTTTGTACAATAGTTTTTTAAAAGATCTTATTTGTTCATCAATAGAAACGTTATATTGAATGTTGATACGTTATTACATATATTTCCAACATTAGACATTGCCCATATGTTTCCCTCAGGAAAAAAAAATGCCCTTACCCTGGAGTATCGTTTCAGTGATGTGTCAAAACCGCTGTTGAAGTGCCAGTCAACAACTGGTTGAAAGATACTCTTCATGGTTTCATCACTAAAGGCGTCAATTGAGAGAACATTAAAATGTCGTAGAAGGCGAGGTGTTACTGCATTTCCTCCACCAGAAGGAGGTGCCATTGCCAGCACAAGAGACGTGTCCTTGATTTCGATCATGTTCGTGTCTTTCCTGCCAAAAGCAACATAAATGGTTAAATTAGAGCTCTCAGTTCTACAAATTTCATTGCATAAATAGTAGGAAACACTATATTACTAAAGATTTCTTAAGTCACAATAATTCATATAAGGCCAAGCTTTTAGGTCTTCAGGAGATGAACAGGGGATTAGATCTCACATGCTGTCAGATTGAGATGATGGACTGCCACCAGCTGTGGAAAATAGCTTATATTCTAAATGAAATACTGCTTTCTTTTAAAATGTGCTAGCAGAAGTAAATCGCTGTGATGGACATTCCCAGGAAGAGCAAATACAAACACATAACAAAGAAAGTTTTCTTCTCTTTTCCCCACAAATACCTCCTTCTAACATCATCTTGGAGCGAGCAGAATCTAACAATAGCAGAAAATGGAACACAAAATGAATTTGAATGATATAGGATTCCATATACCAAGTCTGTTGTAGTTGTTATGCTTCTGTCACACAGCAGGGGGTCAAACAAGACTGAGCAGTTACAGAAAATCGTGAAATATAAAATGTATGTGCATTCTTAAGTACAGGAGGAAGAGTTGAAGCAGGCTGTTCTTTATGAAATCATTTTATTATAGGAAATCTATATTCTGCTAGCATTATCACAATATCGTAAAAACAGGAAAAGGAAAGCACAGTTCTGTATCTTTTATAGCATTTAAAAAAATGATTAATCAGAGGATAGATTTTAGACCATTTTGACAGCAACTTTTATTCAGGCGCATAATATATACCTTTGATCATATCCAAACATAATGTGGTTCATCAGAGCCACTAAAGTAGAAATGCAATCTATTGTACATTTTTTGTATCTGTCTTTCCATCCTCTAAACAGTCATAATAATGTTTGTCCCTATCAGTTATTTTAAGGATGTTTGCTTCAATAAAAGCAGAGCTTAAACTAATTATTTTGTTACTTTATATAGAAAGGTTGTTATTGCCTTCCACAAAACAGATTAAAGTTGATGTAGCAAAGTGTTAGATCCCCAACCCACACTACCAATAGCCTTATCTGACACATTTACATGTTTACATTGTTGGACTACTGGTCATTTTGTAAGGTTTTCCTGTATTCCTTTACTATGATGAATCAAAAGTCACTATAGTGGAGCTACCCTTCTCAGTACTCTTAAAATGCTGAACACATTTATTTTAATAAATAAGTCAAGGCATTGCAAATCTTCTCCCCAGTTCAATAAGTCCCACCTTATTATTCCAATGTTGCAATTAGTGCAACACACTGCACAAAGGAATTGCCATTCTTACTACGTGTGAGCAGACAGTGTGCATGTGTTACCTTGCATCAGGGATTTTTCTTTTTTAAATTACAATCCATATAAAAGCTGGTCTTTGAATAAAGACATCTCTACTGTCTACAGATACCTTGGATATGGTTATATAAACAGATCATCCTATATATATTTACAGTTCTATCATGACACAGTAGTCATTGTCCTTACAATATCAAATATTTAGAAAGGTTTTACATTACATTAGAAACAGTTAGGACATTTATATATCGTACTCCAGGGCAAATCAGAGCTCCCCCCCCCATAAAGTGTTTTTTCAATCAATGTACTTTTCAAAGTAAGAATCGGCACAGGCATGTCTCTCAGCCTTTCCCAGGTCAACTCTAGGGAGCCTGCTCAGATACCAAGCACTGTATTATGGGATGTGAGCAAAATGTGTGCCTATTCTTCCATGTGAGGAAGTAAAAAAGCCTGTAGTAAAAAAATCTGGCGGTTGCCTTTGCTGTCCTTTAATGCTAAAAATACTAGTTCCTTGTTGTCGAACTGATACTAAATTTGAGAATTGTCATGAGAGGTTTGACACAATTTTCCAATCGGGACAAATGTTCTGGTAAACTGTCTATAAATACAGTTCTCCTCACTTTGGGTAGACTTAATTTCACAACCTGTTGCATCTCCAAGACAAAAATTGAAAGAAACTCTCCCCACCATTCATAGAAAAATAAAACTAAATTGAGGTTCTAACCTGTTCCCTACTCTACCTAAACATTAAAAGAGAATTATGGGGTAAGTGAATTACACTCAGCCTCATAATTAAAGACTACTTGTGACACTGTAGCTGTCTCACATTGGTTCTATTGATCGGGAATTGGGCGATCACATACTGCTGATCACATACTGCTGATCGCTCAGTTCCCGATCATCTCCCTGCAGGGATTCCTCCCTCCCTGCAGGGATTTTGCCCTCTCCCCCCCCCCCCCCCCCCATGCTGGCTAGAGGAATGGATGGGGGAGGGGGTTGGAATAGCTGTCTCTGACTCTAGAAAGGCAGAGCCAGTTGTCAATCAGTAAGCAGAGTGGATCTCGACAAGATTGTCGGGATTCATCTTGGATGCAGTGCGGCTCAGCGCAGTCGGCATATAGCAGGCACCAGCATTAGCATTTGGACATTTGTATAGGTCCTCCTGTGACCCTAAAGAGAACTATGGCAAAAAAAGGTTGAGCCATAGTTCTATTTTAACAGGGTTATTCACTAAAGGGTGAAGAGTTTGTAGAAGGCAGGACAAGTGAACAATCTAGGCCAAAATACCTGATTTGGAAAAATTCTCCAATTTAGCTCACTTTTCAGTTCAGCTATGTTGTCCTAAACCCTTTTCCTATAAAAACCCTATAAAAAATAAACATACTTTAGGATCATTCGCATCTTGTAAAACTTGGATGTACTTTGTTCTTTTTTACCCTCTCACTATGAGAGAGACTTTAATAGATAAAAATTGCACAGTCAGTGAAAGGAGACACGCACCTAACAGTTAATTGCTAACATGCTTCCTGCAAGGTGGTTACAATACAATTTTAAAATAATATTTTTTTAAATAATAATTTTTTCCTGTCCTTTCATACTTTTCTTTGACAGGGAAAAGATTCAGGGAATAGTACAGCTAATTAAACTATTTCCTGACCTGGGCCAAGCTTTCTGCCTGCACTACTCATAATACTTCAATGTTTAGACAAGTAAACAGTGCTAACATCACTAAGGGAGATATCAGGTTTAATCTGAGCTAATGTGATTTATTCAATGTGTTTCTTATATGCTTCTTGCCAGGAGTAAATAGGCTTCTTAAAAGGAAATGGGTGCTGAGAGAAATATGGGGCTGTTTATCTCTCCATCAAAAAATGCTAGCTGTCTGGCTATCAGGTCAATCCAGTGGCTTCAATACCAATCACGAGCGAGTATGCAAATCAGTAGTTATGAAATCATTGTAACTTGCAAGATATTTGTTTTGAGTAAGTGACCCAAAGTAAAGTTAATGAATTAGTATGACAGCAGGCCAATAGCATTTTTAGAGGTCAGCAATGACAGTCTACAAATATTTCTCAGTACAGGTTTCCTTTACATAAAAGGAATAAAATACAATAGCTCTTAGGGGCCCATCAGATGTTATTCATTTTATGAGTATATTTTACTAATGGAAAGTGAAAATGCATTTTATAACTGACATGAATGCTCTTTGTACCATGCTAACAATAAAGGAACTGTGAGTAAAGGGTCATTCATCATGCAGGGTGACAGTCGGGAGCACAAAACACAGTAATATGAAAAGGATTAAACAAATACTCTCACAAACAATGCAACTCACCTGAATCTCAGATACCTACTATGAAATATATTTTATCAGATAACCAAAAGATAGCCCACCTGAGAGTTTTCAGAGCCCACTATAGAACCTACACAGCCAACTGAGAGTCTGCACAGCCCATCATAGAACCTGTTTAGCCAACTGAGAGTCCATACAGCTCACCATAAAACCCCGCCCAGCCCCCCATAGAATCTTCACAGACACCTGAGAGTTCACACAGCCCACCATAGTACCTGTACAGCCACCTGAGAGTCCACACAGCCCACCATAGAACCTGCACAGCCATCTGAGAGCTATTAAGTTATTACTAAAACCAGTAATAATCCAACGCAGAGGCAAATATTTAATATGATAAAGAGTAGATACATTTATATAGTCTTACAAATACAACCTGCCCTTTGAGGGCAACCATAATGCTAATGCAGCCCACAATGAAACGGAGTTTGACACATCTGTCCTCTGAGAAACATACACTCTGTTCAATAATATGTTGGTTGTCACAGTGTAAAACCTTGTCATCTGGAAATATAGGTCCATTTAAAAAGTCAATATTAAGGGAGCATCTTCTGGAGCATCATAGCTCGATACCGTCTCGTCTCAATGCCATCAGAACTATGAAGTAATGCTGAGTCACTCATGAGAGCCAGGAACTCTGATACCAGAATGGACCTACTCTGCAGGGAATGGCGTTTATTTTTCTGCAGTTCTTGTCTTTTTTGTAATAACTTTTTTCTGTAAATAATTTCTTGCACAGTGTTTCTTTTTTTAAACAATATATTAAAATTGTTAAGTTGAACCTCTAAATGGTTTTACCAAAAATTATGCAAATTACATCAAACGTTTTTTAGTTTTGGATAGAGTGGAGACCGATTAGAACACCTGTCAGGTTTTTATTGCTGTCTGTGTCCCAGTTAGAGAGAGTCACTCTCTCCATTTGTCCTGGAGACAGTTATCACTAAACGTGAAAGAAAATAAAAATTGTTAGGCTGTCATCAGAACAGGAATATATGAGACATCTTCCAATGGGGAAACTATTCTGTGACCCTGCTAATCACCAGAGATTTCCCTCCCTTTGGTGGGGATTCCTTTCACTTTTTGTTGTGGCTATCACTTAGGAAGTGAAGAAAAATCTCCCCAATAAGACAGAGTAAGCCTTCCCCCTTTTCCTCTGATCCTCTTTTATTTTCCACTTTTATGCATATATTCCCCACACTTTGTCTTTGTTTTTCCTGTGCTCTATTCCTCATCCCTTTATTTTCTGCTTACTATTCCCTCTGTTTACTTCTTCCCCCCTGCTCCCTTCTGACTCTAATGGGACCCTTAAAGCTCATCTCCCTGAATGTTAGAGGGAGGCCCTAATGTCCCAGAGAAACAGTC